TGGCGAGCTTTTATTGTGGTTGGCTGCCCCTCTTATAAACAGAGCCGCACTAGCTTAGTGAGGACGCTAATATTTATAAAAGAAAATAAACGAACACTCGTTTTGGCTAATTACTGTTTACGAGGGGTTTAGTACCATCTTCGAGGGTGTGCAATAAATTAATTTCTTTACCTGTACCTACGACGGTCTATCTTATCGCAAATGAGGGGCTTAGAAAAGTCGAATCATAAAACTTCTATTATTCTTGGAACACAATAGGCATGAGTCACTTTATACCAGCTGAGCCAAGTTTTTCTTAACATCTATGAATTAGTAATCTTTAATATCATACGCAAAGTGCACTTTTACACGACATAACATATTTAACATAATTGGCGTAATCGGTTTGATTAAAATTTCTATAATAACTTTAGAAATCTTGTGATTGTGGTTATCTTGAACTAAAAACTTCAGATTTTTTTTTTAAATTGGTCGAACGTTGTGTCGACAGAAGCTCCCTCGCTCCTGAAATACAATAATAATTTTTTTAAGTTATCCTGTATACGCAAAACAAAAAAATATTAATGGAATGATAAATCACAAGTACAAACTCATCATATTTTCTACATTTTAGATAGGATTTATTCGGCAAACTTTTGAGCTGACGTCATCAAGTTTTTGGAGGGGATAAGTAAATATATTTTCAATACAAATTTTTCATGCGTGTGATAACTGTAAACCGTCTACAAAATTTCAAAGCATTCGGTTTTGCAGATTCCAAATTTAATTGCAAATTGTTGTTTCAAAATTTTGATTTTTTTCCAAAAATCTGGACGTTTCGGGTAAAAACTTGTTTTCTCAGAGGATAGATCATTTACCAAAATCAGTCTTATCTTACCAAGTACAAGCCCCGCCCACCCGCCCCCTATTTTATCAGATGATGTCATTTGTCAAAAATAAGACTTACGTTAGCAATGACTAGCTAAGAATTATCTTAGTATTAGTATCAACTAATTTTGGCAAATCATATACTTTTCAAGAAAAGAGAGGGTGGGTGGGCGGGGCTAGTACCTGCCAAGATAAGACTGACTTTGGCAAATGAGATCCCTTAATAGGGGCCAAATTAGTTTTATCTTAACAAAAACTAACCCTGCCCACGCGCCCCCTTGTTTTCTCAGAGGATAGGTGATTTGCCAAAATCAGTCTTATCTTACCAAGTACAAGCCCCGCCCACCCGCCCCCTATTTTATCAGAGGATATGTCATTTGTCAAAATAAGACTTATGTTAGTAAGTACTAGCTAAGATAATACTAATTTTGGCAAATCATCTACTTTTCAAGAAAAGAGGGTGGGTGGGCGGGGCTAATATCTGTCAAGATAAGACTTACTTTGGCAAATGATATCTCTTAATAGGGGCAAAATTCTTTTATCTTAACAAATATTAACCCCGCCCACCCGCCCCCTGTTTTCTCAGAGGATAGGTCATTTGCCAAAATCAGTCTTATCTTACCAAATACAAGCCCCGCCCACCCGCCTCCTATTTTATCAGAGGATATGTCATTTGTCAAAATAAGACTTATGTTAGCAAGGACTAGCTAAGATAATACTAATTTTGGCAAATCATATACTCTTCAAGAAAAGAGAGGGTGGGTGGGCGGGGCTAGTACCTGCCAAGATAAGACTGACTTTGGCAAAAGAGATCCTTTAATAGGGGCAAAATCAGTTTTATTTAAAAAAATACTAGCCCCGCCCACCCGCTCCCTGTTTTCTCAGAGGATAGATCATTTACCAAAATCAGTTTTATCTTACCAAGTACAAGCCCCGCCCACCCGCCCCCTATTTAATCAGAGGATATGTTATTTGTCAAAAATAAGACTTACTTTAGCAAGGACTAGCTAAGATAATACTAATTTTGGCAAATCATATGCTCTTTAAGAAAAGAGAGGGTGGGTGGGCGGGGCTAGTACTTGCCAAGATAAGACGACTTTGGCAAATGAGATCCCTTAATAGGGGCCAAATTAGTTTTATCTTAACAAAAACTAGCCCCGCCCACCCGCCCCCTGATTTCTCAGAGGATATGTCATTTTCCAAAATCAGTCTTACCTTACCAAGTACTAGCCCCGCCCACCCGCCCCCTATTTTATCAGAGGATATGTTATTTGTCAAAATAAGACTTACGTTAGCAAGTACTAGCTAAGATAATACTAATTTTGGCACATGACATACCTTCCAAGAAAATAGAGGGCGGGTGGGCGGGGCTAGTAACTATTTGGATAAGATTGATTTTAGCAAATGACATCCTGTAATAAAAGGGAAGGTGGGTGGGCGGGGTTAGTACCTGCTTTTCTAAGATCGATTTTAGCAAATGACATACGCTCTTAGAAAATAGAGGGCGGATGGGCGAGGCTAGTACCTGCCAAAGTCAGTCTTACCCTGGCAGGTACAAGCCCCGCCTACCCACTCTCTCTTTTCTTGGAGGATATGTCATTTGCCATTTGTTTTCTTAGAGGGATCTTATTTGCCAAAGTCAGTCTTATCCTAGCAGCTACTAGCCCCGCCCACCCACCCTCTCTTTTCTTACAGGATATGTCATTTGCCATTTGTTTTCTTAGAGGGATCTGATTTGCCAAAGTCAGTCTTATCCGAGCAGGAACTAGCCCCGCCCACCCGCCCTCTCTTTTCTTGGAAGGTATGTCATCTGCCAAAATCAATCTTATCCTAGCAAGTACTAGCCCCGCCCACCCACCTTGTCTTTTCTTAGAGGGTATGTAATTTGCCAAAATCGATCTTATTTTAGCAAATACTAACCCCGCCACTCGCCCTCTGTTTTCTTAGAGAGATCTCATTTGTCAAAGTCAGTCTTTTCCTAGCAGCTACTAACAACGCCCACCCATCCTCTCTTTTCTTGGAAGATCTGTCATTTGCCAAAATCAGTTTTATCTTAGCGGCTATTGGCTAAGATAAGACTGATTTTGGCAAATGACAGATCTTCTAAGAAAAGAGAGGGTGCGTGGGCGGAGCTAGTAGCTGCCAAGATAAGACTGATTTTGGCAAATGACATAGTCTCTAAGAAAAAAAAGGGTGGGTGGGCGGGGCTAATACCTGATAGGGTAAGAGGGCTTGTAGAATCTTTTCTTATAATAATTTAATTAAACTTCTCAGAGGATACATCATTTGCTAAAATCAGTCTTATCTTAGCAGGTATTAACCCCGCCCACCCACCCTCTACTTTCTTAGAGAATATGTCATTTGCCAAAATCAGTCTTCTTCTAGTCAGTAACTACTAAGATAAAACTGATTTTGGCAAATGACATACCTTCTGAGAAAAGAGAGGATAGGTGGGCGGGACTAGTAGCTGTTAAGATAAGACTGATCTTGGCTAATGAGATACCTTCTGAGAAAAGAGAGGGTGGGTGGGCGGGGCTAGTACCTGCTGGGATAAGACTGACTTTGGTAAATGAGAGCCCTTAATAGGGGCAGAATCAGTTTTATCTTAACAAATACTAGCCCCGCCCACCCGCCCCCTGTTTTCTCAGAGGATATATCATTTGCCAAAATAAGACTTACGTTAGCAAGTACTAGCTAAGATAATACTAATTTTGGCAGATGATTTACCTTCCAAGAAAAGAGAGGGCGGGTGGGCGGGGCTAGTACCTATTAGGATAAGATTGATTTTAGCAAATGACATATCCTGTAATAAAAGGGAAGGTGGGTGGGCGGGGTTCTTTTCTTACAGGATATGTCATTTGGCATTTGTTTTCTTAGAGGGATCTCATTTGCCAAAGTCGGTTTTATCCTAGCAGGTACTATCCCCGCCCACCCGCCCTCTCTTTTCTTGGAGGGTATGTAATTTGCCAAAATCGATCTTATTTTAGAAATATTAACCCCGCCACCCGCCCTCTGTTTTCTTAGAGTGATCTCATTTGCCAAAGTCAGTCTTATCCTAGCAGGTACTAGGCCCGCTCACCCACCCTCTCTTTTCTTGGAAGATCTGTCATTTGCCAAAATCAGTTTTATCTTAGCAGCTATTGGCGGGGTGGGTGGGCGGGGCTAGTACCTGCTAAGACTGATTTTGACAAATGACATATATATGACAAGATTGCTTTAAATTTTCAAAAAAAGAAGAAACTGGGTTCCAAAATCAAGTCAAAAATAGGTCAGGTCAGAATTTTCCAGGAATAGAGGACCAAGTCTCCCAAAATAATACACCATGGGTACTCAAAATCTACGGCATAAAAGCTCAAAAGCTACTAATTACTAATTTATTTTATTGATTAAATCAAGAACGGCTCACTCCATTTTTCCCAAAATTTGTTATAGGAGTTCTCATTAAAAATATAAAACCCGCAACATTAAATTTTATAATATTTAGAAAATGCTGGATATATTTTATTGTGCTTCAGAGCGAGGGAAGTTCTGTCGAAAGAACTTTCAGCCAATTTTTATTTTCAATTTTTCCATTTGCAATTTTGCGGCGTTTAATTTTTCGATTTCTCGATATTTAATTTTTTGCATATTTATTAGGCAAAACTTTGAGATGACGTCATCAATTTTTGGGAGGGGATACAAGAATAAATTTTGATTACCGTTTTACCACGAGTACGATAACCTTAATTATACAATTTTGATGTTTTTTACAAAAATCTGTATGTCAAGGGTTAAAATTGAACTCATAAACCACAACTGCAGGAGTACAAATATAGTCTTTAGTATACAATTTTAAGTTTTTTTTCCAAAAATCAAAATGTCTATATTGTCTTATAAAGAAGAAAATTAAAGAATTTCTGACAATAAAAAGTATATTTGCCTACCAACAGAAGAGCATTGAATTTTATTCACATTCTTAAAAAAAACATATTGTAGTTAGAACTACATTTTAACAAAAGAAAAATAATAATAATAATCAATAATTAAAACATTTCCCCTTTTTTAGTGAATACAGAAATTACTTCATTGATAAATATAAATAAATAAAGATTGTCGTCTTTAACACAAAATCTGTAGTTCCTTTCTTCTTCCAGATTCAGAGGAACACGGCCACGCCCACCTCGACCGCGAAATGCAAGGCAGCATGCGCCTCTTCAGAGCCCAGAGGAACTTCTACATTTCCGGCTTTTCTCTCTTCCTCTCTCTGGTACTTCAAACCCCCTTCGTCACCCCCATCTAACCCCTTTATTTATAGGTGATCAGACGACTGGTGACCCTCATTTCATCCCAAGCCGAACTCCTCGCCCAGTCTGAGGCTTCCCTGCGCCAGGCGCAGAGCGCCACCACCGCAGCCAGAAGCCTCCTAGCCCAACAAGGCGAAATGGCCCAGAACAGCAGCAACGAAGCGCACGACAAGGAAGTCACCGAACTGAAAACCAAGATCAAAGAGTTGGAAGAAGAGCTCGCGACCGAGGTCAAAGACAAAAGCGCCTTGAAGAAGCAGTCCGACAATCTGGCGAAAGAGTACGACCGGCTGGCCGAAGAACACAGCAAGCTCCAGAAGAAGATCACTATTAGCGCCGAGGGGGATTCCAAGAAGGATAACTAAATTGTGATGGAATTTTTTAAATTTTATGCACGTAAGGCTGAATGTGATTATATTCACACTATTTATAACTGATTAATATTACCACTTAGTAGCTACTAGCTATGGTCTACCACGGTATTTTGGATACTTATTTTTCAGTGAGTTGGTTACATGTAAATGTTTGAGTGTGCTGTATTTGGTTTTATTTTAGTTAGGATTGTTCTTTTATTCGTTTTTTTTTTTTTTTGTATTGAAACGTGGGCATAATGTTACGGTTGATAGTTTTTATTAATATTTACAATATTGTTATTTGTCAAAAAGCTTTTTAAAATAAAAAGTGTCTAATAACTCTAGTGTGTTGTGTTTCTTGTTACTTATATTTAAAATAAAATTAAGAGGGTTTAAACTCGTCGGCGTTACCAATTTAAAAGGTTAAAATGACCTAATTTTAGTTTGATTGTAGGGTTACAGTTCAAGATTTTATGTTTTGAACTGTACTTGAATGTGTGACCTCCATGGAAGGAATTATTAATAACAATTAGACAAAAAAGATTAAAAAACAACAAACATAAAAATTAAACAACTTTCAGAAATATACATATATTCAGGATTATATAAACTACTCAAATTAGTATTATTTTGGTTGGACTTTCACCAGGAACACACGTAAACGAACCTTTCGCTTCTCTAAATTGTTTTTTTAAGTTATGAAAACAATGCTTAAAAGTGTCATCACCTAAATTTAGAAATTCTGTCATCAACATCCAAAGTGCACAACAGAATTTTCCCGAAATCTGCGCAAGCTGTTACCAATTTTTACCAGTCGCCGAATTTTCCCCCTTTCAGAAGTCTAAAACTTTCCCACCTTTCTCGTTGCCGTTATAATTAGAATAATTTCCACAATTATGTCCCACTGCCCCCCCTTCGCCTACGTCATTGTCGCCCGTTCCCTCGTTTCCAGTTGAAAACCGGAGGTAACGTCCTCGCAGGCGTGCAACCTAACGAAACCAAACTCGCCCTTTTGGCGCTCCCAACGCAGCCCCCTTTTCCACCACCGACGCAGCAACCCCCCTGGACCCTGCCAGCGTGGCGACCCCCCCGATTCGGGCGCCCCCCACCGTCCACGCCCCCCTTCCAGTCGAATTTTTTCGCCGCTCGGTTGCCCACCTGCGCCTACGTAAGCGGGCGTCATCACACTTCTGTGTCTTTCTGACTCATCAGTTTGTTCGCGAATATCTCGTGGATTTTGTTGGCAACGTAATACAATAACACTCTTGCGTGATTTAATTGTACTTTATCGTGTTGCACTTTGCAGATATTTTTGTTTCTGAGTATATTATTTGATTATCGTATGTCCATCCAGAATCTAAACACATTTGGTGAGTATTTCGAGACAACGCGAAGACAACATGGCGTCTGGGGCCGCATTGGCGACTTCGCGGCCCCAGAAGCCCGCCGAAGGCCGGATCCGCGTATCGAGCGCTTTGGCGTGTTGTGGAGGAATTTGACCTCGACCTAAATCTTGCCCCATTTTGTTTGACTTTGCACCATTTTTCAGACCCCTTTGCTGATGCAAGTAAGGGTGCAGACGATGATGTTCAAGACGGACTTGTTCATATAAGAATCCAACAACGAAATGGTCGCAAGACTTTAACTACTGTTCAAGGGCTTTCGTCTGATTATGACCTGAAAAAAATAGTCCGGGCATGTAAAAAGGTAGGTGCGAATAGGGTTGATGGGTGGCGGAAAAGCATGGTGTGAAATTTTTTGTAATGTGGAATGGTTTTTGATGAAATGGGGTAAGTAGACCGTAGCCTTTCACTCTGGAACGGGTGCATGATGAGTTGGTGAGTGTGGAGACTGATTTTTGCGCTAGATTGCTCATTATTATGTTGCAACCACGTTGCACTAATTTTTTTTACGTGCTCTAGAAGTGCAATCAAGTGTCTAGAGAAAGACGCGTCACAACATGGCGTCCAAGGAGTGCATACAAATTTAATTAAATTATTATCTAGACCATTTTTGAAAATAGCGATAACCCCAATTGTAAATATAAACCACAAACCTTAAAAATTAAAATATATAAAAGTGCTGCTTAATGATTGTTTGAGATGACGTCACCACTTTGTGGAAGGGATGAATAAATACTTTTTTTTTTGACAGGAATTCGCTTGTAATGGAACTGTGATAGAGCATCCAGAATACGGAGAAGTGCTTCAATTGCAAGGCGACCAACGCGAAAACATCTGCCAGTGGCTAACAAAAGCGGGCTTGGCAAAGCCCGACCAGCTCAAAGTCCACGGCTTCTAATGTATCAAACGCAATAATAATATCCATCTACCGCTGTTTTAGTTGTTATCACATAAATATCTGCACACATTTCGAAATCTTAGTTAATGTAATAAGATGGTAATCATGCCCAGATAGTATGTACCTGGGAGCCTTTGATGTCTTTAGAGAATTCTTTTTTGCGACAGTTTTGAGACAGTGCTCTATCGACAATGTAACTTTCACATTTTTTTTATTACATTTGAAAATTTTATAGCATTGCCCGAACAAAACTGTAAGTTAGCCGTTAACCTGCAGTTTTGTCAATAGTTTTAAATTGTGCCTTTCCAGTAAATTTTCCCCGTTATGATGGTTTAATTCTCAGTAATGGAGTTTTAGTTGTTAACTCGAGTAAAGTAAATTAAATGTCTTATATATATGGTGGGGTTTTATAATTAGCACCCACTCTATCCTCGTCCCAATACCTAAAGTACCTTGATGTAAAATCGTGGTAGGCATTTGCTATCACTGTTAAACTATTTATTAACCCCTACACTACAAATAAATACATCTTTACATTAATACTATACAAGGGTTGCGCAACCTTAAAACTATCAAAGATCCGCCCCCAGTCGCTCTATCTCCTCGACGAAGTGCACCATATCAGCCTTCTCCAGTCCCGAGCTCTGGAACACGATCCTGAAGAAGTTCGGGAGTTCCTTCTGCGCTTGGTACGTCACCATCATGCACCCCTCCTTCATCATCCTCTCCTTGATTTTAGGAGCCACCCTGTGCAGCCGCTCCTTGTAATCCCGGCTCTCCTTCTGCCCTCTCAGACTCGGCGGGACGTACCAGAAGCACACGTTCGTGCACTCCGGCTCCTCTATCACCATCTCGAAACCCTCCCTGTGCCTGATCGAGTCCGTGAAGTACTTGGAATTTTCGAACACCTTGTTGATGTGTTTCTCGAGGCCGGACGTTCCTTTGGCCTTCCACATGTACCAGAACTTGAGGACGTCGGCCCGGCGGCCGCACTGGATGTGCTTGTCGCCGGTGTCGTATTTCGTGTCGTAGAATTTGTCCTTTTGGAAGAGGTAGGCGGCGTTGGTGGAGTGGGCCTCGGCGAGAATGCCCTCGTGGCGTAAGAGAAGGGTGGAGCATTGTTGGGGGGCTGTGAGGAGTTTGTGGGGGTTCCAGGTGACGGAGTCGGCCCTGAGGACGGAAAAGTGAGCATTATTTTACCTCGACACTTAAATTGAAACGCGTTAAGTGTGAAGGTTGCGGGGTAATTATGAGTTAATAAGTAATTAATAAATTATGGCGAGATTTCGACAGAGCTTCAAGGATTTGAAGGCGATGTTTTCGATTCCGATTGATCGAGCGGTGGGGTTGAGGGATTGCACAATGGAGGAATTGCAGGTGTTTAGATTGCTTCCGTTTCCATAAAAGGACGGAAGCTGGAAAAATTCGGTTTTTCTACATAATTTTGAAACTACTGAAAATTTCTTTTTTTAATTTTCACGGTGTTGGTGTGTAGGTCACGTTTTTTTTTAATTTAGCTACTTACTAGCGGAAAATAAAAAAATACCACCCTGTATAAGTCAATAAATTAAGTAAGTTACCTATAGTATCTTGATTAATTTTTATACATTTTAGACTCCTTTTTGTGTACCTATCACTCAACTTATTACTAAACGTGGTTTTTATCGGGTCGGGTACTAACGTCTTAATTAAAAGGCAGTCGATAAAAAAAAATGGAATAATCAGTGGCTATGATTTTAAATTTTTGGTTGGTAGCTTTATTTTGTGAAGGTTATAGAAATCTGTCAAAAATCGTTTAGAGAATGGTCTGACGTCTATAACCAAGTGCGCTTTTAATTCAGTCTTTTTTTCCCAGTAGGTTAAATAAATTTTGAGTATATACTGCATTTTTAAAATTTTTTATTTTTTCAGTTATTCAATTTTTGAGTTTTCAGTTTTTTCGATTTAATAATTTTGCAATTTTTCATTTTTACAGTTTAATAAATTTTCCAATGTACAATTATCCAAAATCTCAGTTTTGTAGTTTTAAAATTTTTCAATATTTTGAATTTTAATTGTTCTAAATTTCAGTTGAAGTATTTTACAACTTTTCTTTTTTAAATGAATCCGATTTTTCGATTTTACGCTTGTTTGATTTTTCAATTTTACATTTTTACAATTTTTGGATGTCAATTATTTGGTTTTAATTAGTCAATTTCTCAGTTTTCGGTTATATAATTCTTCGTTATTAAAATTTTTTCGATTAGTTTCCAATTTTTTTGATTTTTAATTTTTCAAAATTTCGATTTTCAATTTTTCAAGCTCTTGATTTTTCAGCTTCATAATTTCGCAATTTTGCAGTTTTTAAGTTTTGTAATTTTTCAATTTCATAATTACCTGAACTTTTAATTTTAAAATTATTCGATTTTTTTTAGAAATTATTTTTACAATTTTCAATTTCATAATTCTTCGTTTTTAAAATTGTGGTTTTTCAGTTATTCAATTTTTGATTTTACAATTATCCGAATTTTTTAAAGTTTCGATTTTCTGTGTTTTAAGTTTCTTGTTGTGAAAAGATGGCTATGTATATTTAACAAAAAGGCAAAATGTAAGCCCCGCCCACCCTCCCTTTCTAATTCTGATGATTTGTTTATTCATCGTAAGCCGAGGGGCGGAGCTTACTTCTAAAATCCTTATTTTTTACGAGAAATTACGATGTGAAATATGTTCTCAAGTAATCGTGTTATACAAAGAAAACTAAATGTATTAATTAAAAAAGAAAACCAAAAGAGAAGCCCCACCTATCCATTTCGGTCTCAATCGTGATGAATTTTTTGTTGGTTGTCAGACCGAGGGGCGGAGCGTAATTGCAAAATTGATATTTCCCTATAAAAATTTACCATTTTAAATATGTTTTAAGTTTCTTGTTGTGAAAAGATGACTACACATGTTAAGAAAAAAAGAAGAAATGTAAGCCCCGCCCACCCGCCCTGTCTCAGTTGTGATGATTTTTTTATTCGTCGTGAGTCAAGGGGGCGGAGCTTAATTGCAAAATTCTTATTGCTCTACAAGAAATAAAAAACATGTTTTTGAAATTCCAGACAAATCAAAATTTTCTTTGCATCAATATTTAATAAATTTTTGAAATGGTTTTTATACTTTAAGGTTTAGAAAAGCCTTCGTTTTTACAAGAAAATCTTTAGTAAATTTTAAATTTTGAAAATGCAGAAAAAATAATCATCCAGAAATCCAAAAAATTCAGAATGTAATTTAAAAATTTCCGGATATTCTAAATTTTTGAGATTTTTGTAGAATATAAAATTGCAAACAGCTCAAAATTTCTTTTGTAGTCGTAATTTATAAAGTTTTGGAATGTTTTCATATTTTAAGGTTTAAAAAAGCCTTCTACACGAAAATCTTAAACAAATTTTAAAAATCCAGAAAAAAATTGATGAACCTAGGAAATTTCAGAATATTTTCAATTTTTGAGGATTTTGAAAAGGAGAAAATTCCAGACAAACAAAAATTCCTTTTGCATAAGAATTTTCTAAAGTTTTGAGATGGTTTTTATATTTTGAGGTTTAGAAAAGTCTCTGTTTTTACATGAAAATCTTAAGTAAATTTTAAAGTTTGAAAATACAGAAAAAATAATCATCGACAAATCAAAAAAATTTCAAAATGTAATTTAAAAATTTCGGGATATTCTAAATTTTTGAGAATTTTGTAGAATAGAAAAGTGCAAACAGCTCAAAATTTCTTTTGGAATCGTATTTTAGAAAGTTTTGGAATGTTTAGCAATTCTAAGGTTTAGAAAAGTCTTGTAGACGAAAATCTTAAATTAATTTTAAAATTTTAAAAATCCAGAAGCATTTATTTGGGAAACCTAAGAAATTTCAGAATATTTTCAATTTTTGAGGATTTCGAAAAGGAGAAAATTCCAGACAAATCAAAATTTCTTTTGCCTAAATATTTTATAAATTTTTGAGATGGTTTTTATATTTTAAGGTTTCAAAAAGTCTCCGTTTTTACACGAAAATCTTAAGTAAATTTTAAATTTTGAAAATACAGAAAAAATAATCAACGTGAAATCCAAAAAATTCCAAAATGTAATTTAAAAATTTCAAGATATTTTAAATTTTTGACAATTTTGTAGAATAGAAAATTGCAAACAGCTCAAAATTTCTTTTGCAGTCGTATTTTATAAAGTTTTGGAATGTTTTGATATTTTAAGGTTTAGAAAAGCCTTGTACACGAAAATCTTAAACAAATTTTAAAATTTTGAAAAACCAGAAAAATTTATTTGAGAAACTAGGAAATTTCAGAATATTTTAAATTTCTGAGGATTTTGAAAAGGAGAAAATTCCAGACAAACCAAAATTTCTTTTGCATAAATATTTTATAAACTTTTGAGATGGTTTTTATATTTTAAGGTTTAGAAAGGCCTTCGTTTTTACACGAAAGTCTTAAGTAAATTTTAAATTTTGAAAATACAGAAAAAATAATCATCCAGAAATCCAAAAAATTTCAAAATGTAATTTAAAAATTTGAGGATATTTTAAATTTTTGAGAATTTTGTAGAATAGAAAATTGAAAAAACAGCTCAAAATTTCTTTTGCAGTCGTATTTTATAATGTTTTGGAGTGTTTTGATATTTTAAGGTTTCGAAAAGCCTTGCACACGGAAATGTTAAACAAGTTTTAAAATTTTGAAAATCCAGAAAAATTTCAAAATGTAATTTAAAATTTCAGAATATTTTGAATTTTTAAGGATTTTGAAAAGGAGAAAATTCCAGACAAATCAAAATTTATTTTGCATAAATATTTTGTAAACTTTTCAGATGGTTTTTATATTTTAAGGTTTAGATAAGCTTTTGTTTTTACCCGGAAATCTTGAGTAAATTTAAAATTTTGAAAATACAGAAAAAATAATCGCGAAATCCAAAAAAATTCAAAATGTAATTTAAAAATTTCAGGATATTTTCAATTTTTGAGAATTTTGTAGAATAGAAAATTGCGAACATTTCAAAATTTCTTTTGTAGTCGTATTTTATAATGTTTTGGAACGTTTTGAGAAGCCTTGTACAAGAAAATTTCAAACAAATTTTAAAATTTTGAAAATCCAGAAAAATTTATTTGAGAAACCTAGGAGATTTCAAAATGTAATTTAAAATTTCAGAATATTTTCAATTTCTGAAGATTGTGTAAAGTAGAAAATTCTATGCAAACCAAAATTTCTTTTGCATAAATATTTTATAAACTTTTGCAATAGTTTTTAAATTTTAAGGTTTAGAAAAGCCTCCGCTTTTACACGAAAACCTTAAGTGAATTTTAAATTTTGAAAATACAGAAAAAACAATTATCAGGAAACCCAGAAAGGCAGTTTAAAAATTTCAAGATTTTGCAAAATGAGAGTTATGAATGCAAAAGATAAAATACTTGAAAATTTAAAATACACACAAAAAGTTAATACAGTGCGGTTAAAAATATTTTGGTTCAGAGTTAGCTTTAATTAGTGTGCTTCATTTGCAACCCCTGGTTTAAATGACAAGAAAAATATTATAACAAAGGAGCAAACGTTTCATTTGAAGATCAGATAAAAAGTAGAGTTGGAGTTTTTCAAAACTATCGTGTTAATACAATATCTCAAAGAAATTCAAAAAAGGGACTTTTTCTTGAAACTAAACTGATTTTAATTATTATAATTCCCAATCTTCTTCAAAAAAATATTTTAAAAATTTTGAAAACCCAAGTTTTATGCGATCAAAAACATTTAGATTCAGAACTGGCTTAATTAGGGTGGTGGCGTCCATTTTAAATCGCGCTAAATAAATTCATAATTGTATTCAATGACAAAAACGATTGTTTCACTCTGTTTTGTGACACAAACGATTACCAAACATTTCCTCAACTTGAACTCAAATACCAGACCTTCCACTCAGCGACCACTCAATTACCTTTCAATTCCCTTGAGCAAGCTCCTGTGTTTGCTGGACACCAGCGCGCCGCCGCCCCACGCCGCATCCACGTGCAGCCACAATTTGTACTTTTCGCAAACGTCGGCGATTTCGGTGATGGGGTCGAAGGCACCGATGACAGTGGTACCCGCGGTGGCACTGACCATGAAAGGCGCAGCACCTTCACCGAGCGACCTTTCTATTTCTTGCACCAGGTGCGAAACGTCCATTCGGCCACGAGAATCGGTCCGGATCAGGTAGACGTTGTCGGTGCCGATCCCCAGGAACGAGGACAGCTTCTTGATGGAGTAGTGCGCGTCCTCGGAGGTGAAGAGGACGAGCCTGGGGAGAGCGTGGAGACCTTTGGCCTAGAAAAATCGAATATTGTGAATAAAAACGGGATTAATTCTGTTTCCGGAATTTTTAAGGTCACAGTGGGGAAATTCTCTTGTATATAGATAGGTATTTCCAGCTTTGGTAATATTTTTTTGATATAACGCATTTTGACCTCTACATGTCCTAATTACATGATGATTGGTCATTACTAATAATTACGGTTTATTAGAGAACAGGACGTTTATCCTTAAATTTGCCTCATTTAGTTTATCGTCACAGATTAAATTCTGTACATAAACGTTTTTAATTTACATATATAATTACCACATTTTGTTGTGGTTGGAGTGATAAATCTGGGTTTTACTTTTACTGTTGTATGTAATGTTAACTTAAATAAATATCTCGGAACTCAATTTTTATCTTATGCATGTACATATTTTATCAAACACGTGATAATGCCAACTTTTTTATTGCTACACTCGTTTCCAAAGAAAAAGTAAGTCATTTCCCCAAGTCTGCCAACTTATAAAAATTTCTGGGTCTATGGACAACACTCACCTTAACATCCGGCAGGAACCTGTACCTCGCGCAGCTGATGGCATACCCATTGGCCAAGGACCCCCCCGGACAGAAAATCCCGTCTCCCTTTCCTCCCTCGAAGCCCACGATCTGCCTCATCTCCTTCAGCACCACCTCCTCCATCAAGACGAAGACCGGCGAGACCTCGTAGGTGTACACGCTGGGGTTGAGGGCGTCCGTGGCCCATTGGGCCACCAGCCCATATGGGTCCACCGCCGAGAACAACTGGTTGACGAAATACGGGTGTCCGGTTTTGACCGAGTACCCCACGACGTCCTTCAGGATCTTCAGCAGCTGCTCGTGGCTTTCCGGCGCCCGTCTGAGCCCGAAGTCCATCAGCCTCTTCAGTTCTTCGGGGTCCTTCCAGTTCAGGACGCGGTTGTTGCGATTGGTGCCCTCGAAGACGGCCTCCTTGACGAGGACGTCCACGCACTGGCGGATGAAGTCCTCGTGGTGCTCGCGGACAGGGAGGCTCTCGAAGAATGCCGGCTTCTGGGGCGGGGAGTGGATGGGTGCGGAGGGTTGGTGGGGTTTGGTGTAGATCTGCGAAAAAAATTAAAATTGCAAAATTTATTCTTTTATCCCCTCCGAAAAAATTGATGACGTCATCTCAAAATTTTGCTTAATATTTATACGCAAAAAGTTAAATATCGAGAAATCGAACAAGTACAAAATCTAAAAATTGAAACATCCAACCAGTGGCGTCCCATGTGGAATAAATTTGTACATTACCGAAATTAGAAATACGTTACAATATTAAATACGAACAGTTAATGACGCAGTAAACCAAAACTTCAACTTTTTGTGAAAAAAATGTGTGAAAAATAATACATTTACAAGTGACGTCAGAGCGACGTCCGCCAATTCGGGATGTCAAACGCAGGAATCGATAAACTGATTTTGAATGAAGTAAACTGTTTTCACTATCGTTCTTTGACATTTATGAAATTTTGAAAAAAAAAAACTGTCTCACTGTCACTGTCCGTCAACCCCTTGGTAAAACACTTCAAAGACCATCACACCCTTGACCGAGTTCGTCCGTGGCACTTCCCAATTCAAGCAACCACAATATAATATTTCCAAAAAACCGAGGCGCCACACTTCCCGAGTCAAAAAAATCAATTTACCTCTTCGTCCGAAGACAAGATGGCGTCGCTGTAGGTGGCGGGCTCCTCGATGATGGCATCGTGGAGATCTTCTCCTGTAGCCGGCATTTTGGTAGTTTGGTGATCCTCGTGTTTGCACGACTGATTCACAAGTGGCTCGAATGTGCTTTCGAGGTGGTTTTAAGTACTGGGGTCACGTGGAGTCCTTGCTGCAGACTTTCCCTTGCGGCGAAAATGATTGCGATTATTGGCCATGATGTGCTCTCGGATTAGAGGAACTGTGGGTTTTTGCGGATCGACTTTTCCTTTTGTTTATTAATTATGGCCGCTTCCTGGCATCTCCACCGGTCGAGGTAGGGGAAAACCCTGCGATGACGACGTTTCGGACGAAAAAGAAAATGGTTTGCGTCGCGTTCATGGAAACCTCATGGGGAATTTATAATAATTGTTTGGGTTCATCGAGCGGTTAGTGACTGGTGATTATGATAAGGTGTCGAATTGGTCGAGTTAACTGGGACAGAATAATGGGAGTAATCAGAAGTCAGGTGCATTCTTGTTTGAATGGTTAATTAAGTAAACTGGTGATTTTAATAACTTCCTAGGTTTGTTATAAATATTCCAGGGACGAATTGTAGTAGCTGCTGGACTAAGAGATCAATTACCATCGGAATTATTATACAACCTCGGACTCGATTTTGGTTTTGCAAATGCAAATGAAATCGTGCTTCCGATGTAAAAGTGGATTTTATTTAAATTGCGTCGCAAGCTAAGATCATTATCAGTGTTGCATTCTTTAGCGATTTATAATTATTACATTTTTTTTTAATTGCTAAGTATTTCACTCAGTACTGTCTGACGTCACATGCTTGTCGCATGGGTACAGAATAACGGTCTAGTACTCAAAAATGTCATAAATTGTACATTAACTTATCAATATGACGCAGATATTTTTTAATAATAAAAGAAACACTTTAGGAATGACTCATGACATAAAATGCACGACCAAGGTTTTTTTTCAATTTTTAAATAGAATGGTGCAATTTTGTTTCCAGAGTAGTGGATCGTAGAAGCCATAAAGATGCACAGTTGGTTAAATTAGACAAAATGCGTCATTTGGTGCGGATCAATAAAGCTTAATGCATCTAGAAATTGGAGCATTTTGTACAGTCCGCTGAAAAATGTTTTTTTCCTTTTTTAGAATTGATTTTTTAATATCGTTTACGAAACAGTAAAGTAAAACGGGAAATTCTTAGCTTGTTTTCCTCCCATTGTTTTTTTCTTCAAACATTTCGCCGAAATTAGAAATGTGAACAAACTTTTTAAAATCGGCGAAAAATTCAAATTTTGGCCTTGAAGATTAATGTATGAAGTAACTGGTGTGGCGACAAATTCAAACTGTGATAGTTGAAAAATCAGCATTTTTCTGCATAATTTTACTCTGTTGAGGGACATAACACACACCACATCGCTACGCTGAAAAAACCTGCCGCATATTACATTCTCTACCCGATTTTAATCGAATAATTGAGAAATACAGCAAAATTGTAGAATTGAAAAATCGAAACATCAAAAAATTTCAATTTTTCGATTGTTGTTTTTGTGATTTAGCAATTTTTCACCCCATTTACAACAATTTTCGGACTCTTTTTGCTGTATTAATCAGGTTAAAATGAGGTTATCACAAAACAAAAATGGTAAAATTAATACCTGCTCTGGGGTCCAAATTTTATTTTTTTGTATTTAATTAAAATTCTAATAAGATATAACAATAAGAGATAATTCTTTTTTTTTAGTTGTGGTTGTAGTTGTAGTTTTAGTTAATAAGTTAACTGAAGGAATTTTAGTATCTATTTTTTCTCTCTCTCTCAATATTATTCCCTCACCCTTGAAGTACAATACCTAGTTTTTTCGAAAACGAGAAGGTTTCACATTATAACAAAAAACACTTGGCGCCCCCGAGAAGGTTTTTCATTAAAAAAAAAAAGTTGAGACCCCCGAGAAGGTTTCAGATTTTTAAAAAAGACAATTGGGGCCCCCGAGAAGGTTTCACATTTTAAAAAAAGACACTTGGGGCCCCCGAGAAGGTTTTACGTTATTACAAAAAACACTTGGCGCCCCCGAGAAGGTTTTACATTTTTAAAAAAGACACTTGGGACCCCCGAGAAGGTTTTACGTTATTACAAAAAACACTTGGCGCCCCCGAGAAGGTTTTACATTTTTAAAAAAGACACTTGGGACCCCCGAGAAGGTTTTACATTTTTAAAAAAGACACTTGGGACCCCCGAGAAGGTTTTACATTTTTAAAAAAGACACTTGGGACCCCCGAGAAGGTTTTACATTTTAAAAAAAGACACTTGGGACCCCCGAGAAGGTTTCACATTATAACAAAAAACACTTGGCGCCCCCGAGAAGGTTTTACATTTTTAAAAAAGACACTTGGGACCCCCGAGAAGGTTTTACATTTTTAAAAAAGACACTTGGGACCCCCGAGAAGGTTTTACATTTTAAAAAAAGACACTTGGGACCCCCGAGAAGGTTTCACATTATAACAAAAAACACTTGGCGCCCCCGAGAAGGTTTTACATTTTTAAAAAAAGACACTTGGGATCCCGAGAAGGTTTCACATTAAAACAAAAAACACTTGGCGCCCCCGAGAAGGTTTTACATTTTTAAAAAAGACACTTGGGACCCCCGAGAAGGTTTTACATTTTAAAAAAAGACACTTGGGACCCCGAGAAGGTTTCATATTATAACAAAAAACACTTCGCGCCCCCGAGAAGGTTTTTCATTTTTAAAAAAGACACTTGGGACCCCGAGAAGGTTTCATATTATAACAAAAAACACTTGGCGCCCCCGAGAAGGTTTTACATTTTTAAAAAAGACACTTGGGACCCCGAGAAGGTTTCACATTATAACAAAAAACACTTGGCGCCCCCGAGACGGTTTTACATTTTTAAAAATGACAGTTGGGACCCCCGAGAAGGTTTCACATTCTTAAAAAAATACAGTTGGCGCCCCCGAGAAGGTTTTACATTTTTAAAAAAGACAGTTGGAGCCTCCGGGAAGGTTTCACATTAAAAGAAAAGACATTTAGGGCTCCCGAGAGGGTTTTCCATTTTTTAAAAAAGACAATTGGGGCCCCGAGGTTTCATATTTCTAAAAAAAAGAGGGTTTTACATTTTTAAATAAAGAGATGTCATAAATATATACAATATTTTGTCATTTTTTCTTAATATACGAAGTCTTCTTTTCGCAACAAGAAACCGAAAACATGTTTAACTATCCTTTGTTAAAAAAAAATCCATATATTAAAAAACAAAAAACAAAAAGTAAGCCCCACCCACCCGCCCTAATTTCAATCGGGATGAGTTTCATATGGTAAGTTCTTGTAGAGAAAACAAAATTTTGAAACTAAACTCCGCCCTTCAGCTCACGATGAATAAAACATTCGTTACAATTGGGAAAGGGTGGGTGGGCGGAGCTTTTATTTTGTCCATTTTTCTTAATATACGAAGTCTTATTTTTGCAACAAGAAACCGAAAACATGTTTAACTATCCTTTGTTGAAAAAAAAAACTCCAAATATTAAAAAACAAAAAACAAAAAATAAGCCCCACCCACCCACCCTAATCTCAATTGAGATGAGTTTCATATCATAATTTCTTGTAAAGATTGAGAATTTTGAAACTAAACTCCGCCCTTCAGCTCACGATGAATAAAACATTCGTCACAATTGAGAAGGGGTGGGTGGGTGGGCCTTATATTTTATCCTAGTTTTTCTTAATATGCGAAATCTTCTTTTCCCAACAAGAAACTGAAACCATGTTTAACTATTCTTTGTTGAAAGAAAACTATATATTAAAAAAAAAAAACAAAACAAAGATTAAGCCCCACCCACCCGTCCCAATCTAAATTGTGATGAATTTCATATGGTAATTTGTTGTAGAGAAATGAGGATTTTGCAGCTAAACTCCGCCCGTCAGCTCACGATGAATAAAGCATTCGTCACAATAGGGAACGGGGGGGTGGGCGGGGCTTATATTTGGTTCATTTTTTCTTAATATACGAAGTATTCTTTTCCTAACAAGAAACTAAAAACATGTTTAGCTATCCCTAGTTGAAATATATATGTATAATACACAATGCAAGAGAACAGAGAAAAAAAAAGAAAAAGAAAAAAAAACGAAAAACGAAGTTTGGAATCGAAAGCACGACGTCCGGTCCTCATTTCCGACTCGGAACGACTAGATCACGACCGGGATGCCTTACGCTAATGGTTAACTGATATTATACTGTGCATTATGTTTTTGCAAAAATGTGGACGGTTAGGGAGAAACTCAAAGCGGATTCGTACACCACAAGTGTATATTGTTGTATAACAGTTAAATCAAATAAGCATAGATTCTTTGAAATGACGTCATTAAATTATTGGTGGGGATGATTAACAAAATTTTGGTAAGGATTTAACCATTTACATGATATTTCTATTATACATACAAATGTTGACAACAATCGGTCCAGCAGACACAGAGACAAAGGGAAACGGAAGACTACTTTTTTCGTACTCTAGGGGTCATGAAACGTCGAGAAAATACAAAAGTTGCCATTCCTCCCATGGATTCGTCGGGAAGTAAAAATTGCTACGTATTTGCTTTAAGTGAGTTTTTCCATCACAAAAGTTTATGATGATGTCATCAACATTTGTGCAAGAACAAAATATAAGCTCCGCCCACCCGCCCTATCTTCGTTGTGATGATTTTTTTATTTGCCATGAGCCAAGGCGTGAAGCTTAATTGCAAAATTCATATTTCTCTATAAAAATTTATCATTTTGAAGATGTTTCAAGTTTTTGGTTATGGAAAGAAGACCAAATATATAAAAAAAAAGTAAACTAGGCCCCGCCCACCCACCTTATCTAAATTGTGATGAATTTTTTATTTGTCATGAGCCACGGGGAAGAATTAATTGCAAAATTCATATTTCTCTATAACAATTTACCATTTTGAACATGTTTCAAGTTTTTGATTATGGAAAGAAGATCAAATATCTTAAGAAAAAAATGCTTTGTAAATCAATTTGGATGGATGCAGTGCAATACTAATAATAATAATAATAATACTATATTTCCAAAATTCCGAGAAAATGGAGTAAGTCGTTCTTGATTTAATTAATAAAATAAATTGCCTCATTTATTTGAAAATATCGTTCTAACCAAAATTTATCTTATCTCCACCAAGAATTAAATGACGTAAACTCTTTTTTCGTAGTAACACATATTTACACTTTGTAAAATGACGTACTATATTTGTGGTTTATGAATCTGCTTTGATTTTTAGCACAACCACTTTACAAAAATTTTCGTGCGCATAGCTGATATTTGGGTTACGTGCATAGAGAGAACTTAAGCTCTGATTCGATCCCATCTTTGTCGACATTTTTTTTAATTTCAAATAACTCAGTCACGAATTTCTTCATTGGATTATTTTTGTTGTATGAAGTTAAGTGCGGTAATTGTGGATTTTTAATAATAAACAATTAAAAAAATGAAGACATCAAATTATCCCGTGATTGTCGTAATGACTGGGACTATTTTAATAACAACGGTATGAACGCTGTATCTAATCGTATTCAGTTATTTAGAAAAAAACAAATTATATATACATTAGAAATGAAATAACGTAATCACACAGTTGGCATGTCATTATTAATAAGATAATTACAAATAAAGTACGTCAAAAAGACGGTTATTTAATTATTTTGACGTTATACATGGTGTTCTGAATATACAATCTTTACTGAATTGTATCTACAGGTTGTGTTAAGTGTATATATAAATTATCTATTTAATATTTTAAGCGTCCCTCGTCGGATATGCAATAATTAAAACGATTAACGCACAAAGAAAACCGCTATTTGCTATTACTACAAATTAATTGTGTTTAAAAAAAAAAGTACAAAAAAGGTTGACCCCAATTCAATAAGTCTGTTTGAAGGCTGTCACTCGTCTTTGCACAGACCCGATCGTCCCACCAGCAGTATTGAACCCCCAGCCAGTTTCCAATTTTGAACCTAAAAAACGAGGCAACCACGTAACACACAATGTAACAGCCACTTTTTGTGTACAACCGCCTAATTAAAATTCCGAAGGAATAAAAGTAATAAAACTGTAGAGGTCGCGCGTGCGAGTGAAGGAAATGACCGCGAAATGTAAACATAACTTCGCAATATATTCCTTTCGTTCTAAAATTTATTCCCTGTTGAATGTTATATATCAAATAAAAAACTCGTCTCTGCTTAAAAACTGTATTCCAAATATTGTATAAAATGATATATAAATATTGTTTCAACACCTCCTCGATAAATACTAATACAAAAATAGGAACGAAATAACACTGTACAATGAATCAAATCTTACATATACGGAAAGGGTATTTGTTGCGGCCGATTCAGGGGCGGCTGAGGGACATTCATGGGGGCCTGATTTCTGAATGGGTTTGCGGGAGCGGCGGCGTTGAGGCGGGCAGCCATCGGGGGGTACCTGGCGCGCGGCGGCAAGTTGTTGACGCCCCTTCGATTCGGCGGCTGCCAGTTTAGGGCCAGTGGTGGTTCCTCTTCGTGCAGGAGGGGCTCTACAATAGGGAGAATCACAGGCTCCTCGGGGTCTATAACCGGCCGGAGACCTCCAATATGCCGTTGGAACACGTTATTTAGAAACGGGGGCGGTGGTCGGTTCTGCAAAAAATACGAGTTTCATTTGGTTAATAATTGTTTGACGACAATGACTATTAGAAGCGTTTTTTGTTTCTTTCGCGTAAAATTTAACTGATAATCCCCGAATACCGCGTCCGGTGTCATTTACAAGTCCCCTTTATAGTAAAATACACTTTATTTGCTTTAATTATTACAATATAGACTCTAATTATCGAAATGATATAAATGAATTAGTGACGTCGCCTTCGGTGTTCTAATGCATCCAACATTCTTACGAACAATTCATCCATTCGGCGATCAAGCTCGGCTCGACGCAACTCGATGCGCTGTTGTTCGTTTATAGGTCGAGGTTGTTGTCCAACCTATAAAACAAAAGAATTTTATAGGCGGAAACGGACACACATTGGACGAATTTCAAACTTGGAAAACGACAGACTCGGTCGCGACCTTTCGGACCGTGCGAAAACGTGTTTTTATTTTATTGCGGGGAGTGTTGTGACGGTCCGCACATGCAGCACGCTTTAAAATCTACGAACACCTTGTACATGCTCAAGCAACCGACGAGTGTAGGACTTCGGGGACGGTTCATGCACAAAAATACGATAATCGGCAAAATCTTTTTATTATCTCACTTGGAACTAATAATCGTTATCCGAATCACAACTACTACTACTAGAAGACGAACTGGAGCTAGAACTCGAGGATGAGCTATCCAGAACCCTATTATCATTTCCCTGAACCCGCAAAACGTTAGTTTAAAGTCTCCTATTTACAATACGTACCAGCAGGTGGTTGTGCGGGTACATCTTCGTCCTCTCTTGGTAGTGCTTGTTGATGTCTACGGTGGGGTCGTACTTCAAATTGACGTTGCCGATTTCGGCCTTGGCTTCTTGGGCCCCCTTAAGTACGTTTTCTTTGTTGAGGACGTTCGTGTCGCTGTACAGGGGACACCTGCAAAAATTGGGTTAAATCGGGCGCGCGTGCTGGCGGTGGTACGTACAAGTCGAATCTATCGCCGCCGTTGCCGTTGAAGTGTTTGTAGCTGTCGACGGGTTTGCCGCACACGTAACACATTTGGGCGCCACACGAACAGGTCATCTTGTTGCAACCTTCTTCCTTGAAGAATTTCACGCCGCACTTCCAACATTTCCTATAAAATAAATCAATCATTGGAAATGTTTAGTAGTTTACAAGGCAACATAATTATGAACATCGACACTAACGCTTACCTCAATAACGCCTCTGTCATCTTATTTTCCACGAACGTCCGAGCGCGCACGTCTTCATCCTTTTCGATTTCATCACAGCGCAGGGGAATATGAGACGGCTCCTTACACATCCTACAGGACTCTTTCATGCACTCCGGATTCATGCAAGTGAAAATGTTGTATCCTTCGGCCGGAATCGTAGCGAAATCGCAGAACGGACACATCTCCAGCTCCTCGATTCCCGCAGATTTGATTTCTTCGAGGGCCTTCTTCTGGGCGATCTTGGAAAACAACTTCGGCGACAAAACGATCTATAAAAAAAAATTGGTCGGGTGTGACTTCAACAGAAGGTTTTACATTCTTAAAAAAGACAGTTGGGACCCCCGAGATGATTTTACATTTTTAAAAAGGACAGTTGGCACCCCCGAGAAGGTTTTACATTTTCAATAGACCGTTGGGACCCCGACAAGGTTTCACATTAAAAAAAAAACATTTGGCGTCTACGAGGTTTTACATAAAAAAAAAAAATGCATTTGGGGCCCTCAGGAAGGTTTTGCATTTTTAAAAAGGACAGTTGGGACCCCCGAGAAGGTTTTACATTTTTAATAGACCGTTGGGACACCCGAGAAGGCTTTATATTCTTTAAAAATAAACAGTTGGGAGCCCCGAAAAGGTTTTACATGTTTAAAAAAGATAGTTGGGACCCCCGAGAAGGTTTTACATTTTTAATAGACCGTTGGGACCCCCGAGAACGTTTTACATTTTTAATAGACAGTTGGGACCCGAGAAGGTTTCACATTAAAACAGAAATAACTTTAACGCCCCCGACATGGTTTTACATTTTTAAAAAGGACAGTTGGGACCCCCGAGAAGGTTTTACATTTTAAATAGACCGTTGGGACCCCCGAGAAAGTTTCACATAAAAAAAAACATTTGGCGTCTACGAGGTCTTACATTTAAAAAAATGCATTTGGGGTCCCCAGGAAGGTTTTACATTGTTAAAAAGGACAGTTGGGACCCCCGAGAAGGTTTTACATTTTTAATAGACCGTTGGGACCCCCGAGAAGGTTTCACATAAAAAAAAAACATTTGGCGTCTACGAGGTTTTACATAAAAAAAATACATTTGGGGCCCCCAGGAAGGTTTTACATTTTTAAAAGACGGTTGGGACCCCCGAGAATGTTTTACATTTTAATAGACCGTTGGCGTCCCCGAGAAAGTTTTACATTTCTAATAGACCGTTGGGACACCCGAGAATGTTTTACATTTTTAATAGACCGTTGGCGTCCCCGAGAAAGTTTTACATTTCTAATAGACCGTTGGGACCCCCGAGAAGGTTTCACATAAAAAAACACATTTGCCCCCCCCCCCACAAGATTTCACATTAAAAAATAGTACATTTGGCGCCCCCGAGAAGGTTTTACATTTTTAAAAAGGACAGTTGGGACCCCCGAGAAGGTTTTACATTTTTAATAGACCGTTGGGACCCCCGAGGTTTCACATAAAAAAAACATTTGGCGTCTACGAGGTTTTACATTAAAAAAAATGCATTTGGGACCCCCAGGAAGGTTTTACATTTTTAATAGACCGTTGGGATACCCGAGAAGGTTTCACATTAAAACAAAAATAACTTTAACCCCCCCGAGATGGTTTTACATTTTTAAAAAGGACAGTTGGGACCCCCGAGAAGGTTTTACATTTTTAATAGACCGTTGGGACCCCCGAGAAAGTTTCACATAAAAAAAAAACATTTGGCGTCTACGAGGTCTTACATTTAAAAAAATGCATTTGGGGTCCCCAGGAAGGTTTTACATTTTTAAAAGACGATTCGGACCCCCGAGAATGTTTTACATTTTTAAAAAGGACAGTTGGGACCCCTGAGAAGGTTTTACATTTTTAATAGACCGTTGGGACCCCCGAGAAGGTTTCACATTATTAAAAAAACACATTTGCCCCCCCCCCCAGAAAGTTTCACATTAAAAAATAGTACATTTGGCACCTCCGAGAAGGTTTTACATTTTTAAAAAAGACAGTTGGGACCCCCCCGAAGGTTTCACATTCTTAAAAAAATACATTTGGCCACCCCGAGAAGGTTTTACATTTTAAAAAGAGGCAGTTGGGACGCCCGGGAAGATTTTGCATTTTTAAAAAAGACAGTTGGGACCCCAGCAGGGTTTTACAGTTTTAAAAAGACTATTGGGACCCCCGAGAAGGTTTTACATATTTAAAAAAGATTGTTGGGACCCCCGAGAAGGTTTTACATTTTTAATCGACCGTTGGGACCCCGAGAAGGTTTCACATTAAAAAAAAATGCATTTGGGGCCCCCGAGAAGGTTTTACATTTCTAATAGACCGTTGGGACCCCCGAGAAGGTTTTACATTTTTAATAGACCGTTGGGACACCCGAGAAGGTTTCACATTAAAACAAAAATAACTTTAACGCCCCCGAGATGGTTTTACATTTTTTAAAAAGGACAGTTGGGACCCCCGAGAAGGTTTTACATTTTTAATAGACCGTTGGGACTCCCGAGAAGGTTTCACATAAAAAAAAAACATTTGGCGTCTACGAGGTTTTACATTAAAAAAAATGCATTTGGGGCCCCCAGGAAGGTTTTACATTTTTAAAAGACGGTTGGGACCCCCGAGAAGGTTTCACATTATTAAAAAAACACATTTGCCCCCCCCCCCCCCCCCACCAGAAGGTTTCACATTAAAAAATAGGACATTTGGCGCCCCCGAGAAGGTTTTACATTTTTAAAAAGGACAGTTGGGATCCCCAGAAGGTTTTATATTAAAAAGACATTTGGCGCTACCGAGGCTTGACATTCTTAAAAAAATTTGGACCCCCCGAGAAGGTTTTATATCTTTAAAAAAGAGTGTTGGGACCCTCGAGAAGGTTTTACATTTTTAAAAAAGAAGTTGGGACCCCCGAGAAGGTTTTACATTTTTAAAAAAGAGTGTTGGGATCCCCAAGAAGATTTCACATTTTTAAAAAAGTGTTGGGACCCCCGAGAAGGTTTTACATTTTTAAAAATGACGATTGGGACCCCTGAAAAGGTTTCGCATTTTTAAAAAACATACTTGCCCCCCCCCAGAGAAGGTTTTACATTTTTAAAAATGACGATTGGGACCCCTGAAAAGGTTTCGCATTTTTAAAAAACATACTTGCCCCCCCCCCCCCCCAGAAGGTTTTACATAAAAAAAGAGACCCCTCCCCAAGAAGGTTTCACATTAAAAACACATTTGGCGCCCCCAAGAAGTGTTTTACAATTTTAAAAAGACAATTGGGACCCCCGAGAAGGTTTTACATTTTTAAAAAAGACAGTTGGCACTCCCGAGGTTTCATATTAAAAAAGACTTTTGCCGCCCCCCAGGTTTTACATTTTAAAAAAGTTAGTTGGAACCCCAGAAGGGTTTCACATAAAAAGACATTAGGCCCGACCGAGGTTTCACATTTTCTAAAAATACAGTTGGGACCCCGAGAACATTGAGAAGAATGAATTATAGTCACATAATAATTACATTAAAAAAAAAATAGATTTGGGGCCCTCGAGGTTTTACATTTTTAAAAATGACAGTTGGGACTCTCGAAGTTTTACATTAAAAAAAAGACATTTGGTGTCTGCAAGAAGGCTTTACATCAAAATACTAAAAAACAAAATTCTGTCCAGAAAATTTTTAAAAAATTTAAATTTAATTTTGGCAGTTACTTGTTAACGGATTGTGTTTATTGTGAATGTGCAAAAATCGACATTTATTGAAAAAATAAATAAATAAATAAAAAAAATGGCCGGGCGAATTTCTTGGAAATACTCGAGGCGACTTGATTCTTGGAAATCGCGGACTGAAAATACGTCGCCGAGGGAGCTGGGAGGGGGTGTAATTACGTACCAAAACTAGTCGTAACTTGTTCGCGGAACCGGAAATATGTGTCTTCGATTATTAATTATTAACTATTAATTAAAAATGAACATTGAGTGGTTTTTGAAAAAAGTCTTTCGGTTTTTGGTGGATAAAGTGTTAAAGTGAAGTTTAAACGGTTTTTGAAAAACATTCTTTTAGTTTTGGTGGATAAAGCATAAGTGGGGTTAGTGGCATAATGGAGAAAGATTTTCTGGAGGCTCTGCTTGTGGTAAGTAATGCATTGTTTTATTACGATTTGTAAAATTGCATCACAAACATTTGAAAATCGGTCTAGTTACGTAGACAGAATTTCCTTCGTCTCTGAACGACAGGAAAACAACTGCGGAAAAAATCGAAAAATTGTATATTCATTTTTTTATAACCCCTGTAAGTTAAAATAGGGTAACTGCGAACTGTTAAAATAGGTAAGGAGCATGCTACATAGATGTTTCAAGTGGTTTTTCCATTATAACATTTATGATGACGTCATCACTTTAATTAATTCACATTCACACATTTCTTTGAGTATACTTATAAAGTAGAATAAAAGCATGTATGCAATGTTAAAGTACATGTAACGAAGCGTCTACGCGTTTGTTTCACGTGAGTGTTTCCATTACAAAATTTTGTGATGACGTCATCAACATCTTTGCAAGAACACATCAATTTGAATAGTATAGTATTGTTACGAAATACACCCTTACGCCGCCCCAGTACGACGCCTATGGCGGTCGAGAGCCTTCTGGACGTACGCACGGCGCTGATGGGTGAATCATCGCTGTTGACGGCCGAGAGGCGGGCGCATAAAGACAGGTCTGGAGCGTCTCGAAGCGGCGTCCAGGGGAGTCTCGAAGCGGAGTCGCGATGGATGTTCGTGAAGGATCTCGATCAGAGACTATGGGTTTAAATAGAGGCGACCGTAGGTAATGGATTCATTCAGTCAGTGAAGACAGTCAAGAGCGCCGGATTAATTTCTGTACATATTCGTTGCAATAGATAGTGTTGTAATTCGAGCTAAAGAAATAAATATTTGAGTTTCACCAACGCCCGATTTATTATACGCCCGTCAAGCGTAACACTGGTGTCAGAAGTGGGATTAATTGTGAAATAAATCGGGATTCGAATTTGTGTTGGTGCTACTAGGGGAGACCGGAACAAAGTGAACTTTCGAGAAAATTCTCTCGCGCGACGTCCGTCAAGACTCTAGAAGTTTCTAGAAGAAAATTTTATGCCGACTACCACAAGAGCGCAAACAGCCAACATGGAGGAACAACTGACCAAAATGATGAAAATGTTGAGCGAAAATCAAAGAATAATGGAAGAAAATAGAAAAGAAGATCGCAGAATAATGGAAGAAAATCAAAGAATAATGGAAGAAAATAGAAAAGAAGATCGCAGAATAATGGAA